TTTTCTATTTCTTCTTTCTATGTTTGAAAATTTTTTTTTCTTTATTTATTTATTTTATTTATTTATTTTTACTTTAATTTTTATATATTATTTTATTAAATATTTTAACTACTAGTATAATATTTGCAAAGTTTTTTTATATTGATATTGATAATTATTTGATTAGATATTATAAAACACAACTTCTTAAAAGTTTGAATAACAATAGTTATATAGTAGTTTCATAGATATATTTAGTTTAACTATTAATAAGTAAACAATATTAAATTTGATAATAATAATTATATTGATTTTTTAAAAGAAATAAACAATTTGTCTTTTTTCTAAAAAATATAATAGAGAAACTTTTTTAAAATCTATAACTTATAAAAAATCATTGCTTTTTAATAAATTCTTAAGAAAAAAAAATAAATTGATTAAAAAAGTAATAAAATAAAAAATGATATTTAAAAAAAGAAAAAAATATAAAAGAAAAAATCCAACTTTGATAAGAAAAAAAAATTTTATTAAAAATAAAATTTATAAAAATAAATAATAAAAATAATATAAAAAAAAATATAAAAATATAAAAAAAGTAAAGTAAAAATAAATAAATAAAATAAATAAATAAAGAAAAAAAAATTTTCAAACATAGAAAGAAGAAATAGAAAAAAAGCTTTTTTTTATATTTATTAATTTATTTTTATATAATTATAAAAACTTGTTATAAAAAAATCTGTAAATTCATAGTATAATAATTAGTATTCCACAATATATGTTACTAAAATTTGTAAATTCTTGATACAATTAATTGAGTTATTATTAAAATATATAAATAATTAAAATATCATATAATTATTTTTAAGGATTTTGAAAATTAAATTAATAACAAATAATTTATATCATATGTATATTTCACAGGTCAGATTATAAAAATATTAATTATATAAAAATAAATTAAAAAAAAAAATAAATAAATAAAAATATAAAAAGTAATCAAAATTTTATTTAAATAATAATTTGTAAACTATGATTTTTTGATTTTCTTTTTTTAGTAAAAGAAATTAAGAATAAGTAATCTTATTTATTTCTAAAGTATATTTAAAAACAATTATCTAAACAAGTATTTAAATCTGTAGTATAGTTTATATATTTAATATACTATTTAATATATCATATATTATTTGTTTTTTGTAAAAATTCTAAAATATATAAAAGCAAAAACTTGAAGTTTAATAAAATTTAATTTAAAAACAAGAATTTATCATAAATTAATCTTTACAGCTTTATCTTTAAACTTGTTTATTTTTTAAAAAAAAATAGAGAAAAAATCAAGAATATAATTTTTTAAAACTTTAAAATAAAATTTGTTTCGGTTTTTATATTCTCATTACTGACTAATAAAATTTTTTAATTAATCCTATTTTGTAAACCCGAGTTTTTGATTATTATTTTTGTTATATTTGTGAATCTGCTCTTATTTTTTTATTTATTTATATAATTAACCACTTTTTGCTAAAAGAATATATACGCCTAATTATTATACTCTATTACATTATACGTACAAATGAATAAATATCTACCGTTAAAATATTCGTACATGGCTGGGAGTATCCTTAGAGGGGGGGCTGTACGGTATTTTACTATCATAAATATTAACCCGTTTAAACGGGCATTCGTGAGACGATAGCTCTTAAAATAATTATTATACGCGTAATATATTATGGTATATAAAATAATATTGCGAAATTATAATAAATAAATTGACGTTGGAATGGTCTGAATTTTTTCTGAACCCGTCCTTTGCCTTTCTATCCGTTTACTCAAACCATAGAAATCTCTTCTTGGTTATGTAGACTGCTGTACTCTTGTTTCACAAATTTATTACCACGTGACCACTCACAGGAAATCACGAGGACAAGACCAAGGGAGGTACCAGAAAGATTACACTATTATGTGTTCAAAATAGATGTAGATTAATGTACATGTACCGGAAAGTATTAATTACTCGATAAAGGAAGATAATATACACACCAAAATATCTTTCGTATCAAATACCTTGTACTATTCAAGTATTCGACAAATAAATTGTAAACAGTAAATGGATTGAAAAACGATGAGTGATTTGACTGGGGCGAATGTTCCTCGGATAAATTGTCAAATGCAAAATATTTTAACATACTGGCAGCATCCCTTGAACGACTTCACTCATGATAGACGCCGAAAACAATAAGAGTGTTGTAATTCCCAAATTCGATTTCACATCCCACTCCCACACATAATAAGTCGCAACTGTTAAAATACCGAATCCTATAAAATGCATCAATTTGTCCGATGTATTTATATGAATGTTTGGTGCAAAACCAAGGATTGAAAAGATGAAGACAAGAATGATAACGATGACTATTGGAATCTTTCGCATGGTTACGAGATGAATGAATGAATGAATGAATGAGTGTAGGCGTATTAGATTAAATATACAGTACAATGGAAACGTTGGAAAGAGTAATACAGTATATTTGTATATTTGGAAAATGTATGCATTCACGTCGTACAAGGATCACTCACGTGTTGATAATTTTTTTTATATCAAATATATGAATCCGATCTTTTTTCGTCCGACTATTCCTGCAATGGATCCTTTCGAATCAAGCAATGGTACTTCGTTTACTGATAATACTGATAATTTAAATAACGAAGAATTATCAAATCCACCTCCTTCGGTCGATTTTTATGGTGTGCTGAATGTTTCCAAGGAGGTACTTCGCGTCCCGGTTTTAAATATAAGTAAAAACAAACAAACATTCTTTAAAATTACAATAAAATCATGAACAGGCTACCGATGAAGAAATTAAGGATTCATATAAGCGACTATGCCGTATATTTCACCCAGACAAGCACATAGATCCGGAAAGCAGGAAGGCCGCGCAGTCCAAATTCCAGGTGATTCAGAAGGCTTACGAAGGCAAGTGAGTTTTTTCGAGGTGCAACCCCTCCGACTAGAACGAGATCTTACACTATTATTATTGCTGATTCACCCAGTTTTGACGGACCCGACCAAAAGAACCATTTATGACATGTTTGGTGAGGAAGGGCTGAGCACTTCGTGGGAGATCGGTGCTCGTTACAAAACTTCACAAGAGGTATGATAGATATTTCGGTGACAACCAAAAAATGTCGTTGTATATTTAGGAATTGTAATCCTTTGCAGTTGAGAGAAGAATTTGAAAGACAAACCAGGGCGAAAAGAGAGCAGGAGGTGGAAAGCATGGTGAAGTCAAAGGTAAATTTCTTTTAGCATAAAATTGTTTGCCTGGTGAACTTATATTAATAAATTTTAACAATAGGGAGACCTTCAACTGAGTATAGATGCTACTCAAATGTTTGATCCATATGATAGAGGACCCCGTAGTTGGTATGAAAATATCGAAATCACTCAACTCTTTTTGAAGCATTCATTCGAAGTAAGTTTTTATTTTTCACTGGTGGTTGATGGATATGACGTTTGATGCATGTTACGTGTTTCTTTCTCCAGAACCAATTGCAACCACAAACTCAAGCGTCATTCGTTGGGCAGACAGTTCTACGTAATGGAGTAGGTGGTGGTAACATTATGTGGAGCTTGCGTCACGCGTTTTCGCCAAATTTTTGGGCTGAAGTACGTTAGAAAAGATACCGTGTATTTATTTACTTGCACTTTGTTAGTAAGTACTTTTGTTGAAAAAGCTGGACGAACTCGTCGTATTAGGTTGGATCCTCAATAATTCAACCTCGGGTGATGAACGTAAAGACGAATTATAGCTTCGGTTCAGATGGGTATTTACATTTCCATTTTTATATATGAGTTGTAATAATTAATTTTATATTATTAACGAATAAATTTGCGGATGCAGATTTTTCTCAGTGGTAGCACAATCTCATACGATCAAGTCACCACCAAGTTTATCCTTTACTGGCGGTAGACGACTTGGAGCAAATACATCCGGTTATTTAACCTATAGGACTGGCGCATGGTCTTTGGGTCCTTGGGGGCAAAAAGATTTTTTTTCACGGCGTGACAAATCTGCCGTGGCTATCGGTCTTAGCAGTTCCAAAGAAAATTCGGGTTATGCCTGCGAAATACAAGTACGATGCCTCTTAATTGTATTGCATCGTTTATACTTTTTTTTCATCTTTTTGTTCCAATGGTCTACTTTAATCATCCATGTAGACTGGTTTAGGGGAATCACATGTCTCAGCTAATTATAACTACAAATTACTTGGTGATTATCATCTAAAGGCTGCAACTACTTTGTCGACGTCTAGGTTTTTAATTTTACTCGTCATGCGTTCTTAAAATTACAAAATGAATTGTCTTCCACCGAAACATGTGTTTAAGTTGAAAAATATTTTCTTTCGATAATTTAAGTGGTCTCACGGCTGTTCTCTTCGGTGAACGTAAGATCACAGAAAACACCAGACTCGCGTTGGCTATGGAGTTTGGAATACCCAATGGAGTCTTATTCAGATGCAGGTTTGATAATAATGATATAACTGGTAGTTACATATCGATAATTTAATCAACGAAAAAGAACGTGTAGGAAAATTAAGAATTGGTTGGACGCGTTTTTTTTTTTTTCAACATTCACAGGATATCTCGTCTAGGGCAAAGGATTACCATACCAATTCAAATATCTTCGGAATATAATCATAAATTTTTATTATGGGGCGCTTTATTGCCCGTGGTGACAATGTTTGCCGTTGAAAGGGCGGTTTTAATGCCACGGCGCAAAAAGAAGGCAGCCGAGTATGAAAAACTCTTATCCCTTTCGCACATCCTGATAAAACTTGACATTTTTTTTTTCTTAGGAGATTGGCCACCTTGCGAGAACGTAATGCAGAACACATTGCCAATCGCAAACGTGAAGCCGAAGAAGCCATTCGACTCTTACAACCGACAGTAGGACGTAAACTAGAAGCTGAAAAAACGAAAGAAAATGGTCTGGTCATACTAGAGGCTTGGTATGGAAACCTTTCTCGTGCAGAAGAACCGTCGTCGTCGCCGTCGATAGAAGGAATTTTTGATGTGAGAATACCCGTTCAAGCACTAGTACATGATTCACAATTGACCATTCCGGGCGGATATTCAAAGGTAAGTTCAAACCTATCGTATTAATGTGTTCACAATCGAGTAATTAAACCAATCGAACTTGCTCTGTAGTCGAACATCATAGGTTTTTATGATCCTTGTCTGGGAGAACCCAAACAGTTAAAGATTAGATATCAATTTCAACGAAAAATACATGAGGTCGTGGTTAATGACACTCATCCTGTAGCTTGCCCTCTAAGATGTAAGTCAATTCCGAAAATACGCGCGATCACGTTTAAGGGGTTTTCGTTACCATCGACTTGCGTGTTAACCTTTGATTTTATTTGACAGCCCACATTATATCGAGTAGTTAATTATAACGTCGTGTGATAGAAATGATCTTAATGATTTTTGAATAAATGCATTGTTTTTATTCGTGATTTTTCTACGTGTAAGTTTACGGATGGATCGTTGCCTTAAACTGTTCACATTGACACACTCATATGCATATTAGCAATATAAATTGATTCACGTCAGGTGCACATCTCTAACAAAGGTATCGAATCACATATTATTGATAATTAATCATCTCAGGGATCAACAAGATGTTTTTGTTAAGGGAGTGCACGTTGTGGGATAAATGTTACCTTGCAAGTAGGCTTATTGGGATCATATTAACCCGAGTACATGAATAATCCAAAAGATAATCTAGTTAATAACCAAAGCACGCCAACCCATTTATATACACGGGAACAAAAAAGATGGAATTCAATGCATCAGGAAAGCAAGCATAATCACACTTGGTAGCAATGCCAATAGAGCGATACTTATGGTCACCGATTTGGTAGATGCAGATGAAGGAGTAGGTGATGTTGAATGGACTCCTGTATTTGTCGATGAACCACCACCAGTGGACGAACCAGATGCAGTGGACGAACCAGATGTAGTAGTTAACGAACTAGATGCACTGGGCGAACTAGATACGCTAGCAGTGGATGCACCTTGTTTATGTTATGAAAAGTAAAAAATTTTGAGAATTATTTTTTATTACTTTTAAAATTGATATTCGTATCGGTATACAATGTATTAATCCGACAATGACAACTATAAATTTGGATAATCATTTTTGAAGATCAAAATTTTCTTGGACCCAAAATCATGTGACTAATTTGCAAATCATTTCGTTCCCGAAAATTTCATTGTAACCCTCAAAAAAGAATTATCCAATTTAAAACGTTCTATTATGCCAAGAAAGAAGCTATGATCGCGCTCAACATCAACATCAATATAGTAACAACTGATGTTGAAGTGCTAGAGGCAGATGATTTAGTTGAAGTTGCACCTGTTGACGAGGTATTGCTGGATGAGCCAGTAGATGACGTAGATGATGTGGGTGATGGTGATGAGGAGGGACCCGATGAGGCTGAGGAACCTCCTCCAACGGTAATTACGCCCCACATGCCCCTTTCGCAATGACCGGTGACATCGCAGTAATAATATATGTTGCCGGAAGTTTCGGTGACGTTATAGACGAAGGTTCCACTAGGTATTTGACCGCTGTTAAAAATACTAGCACGGGCTGTATGGAGGAAAGAAAAATTAAAGCTAAAATAGATTACGTAGGATACAAATGAACGGGGTATGTGACATACATGATTTAGTACAGCTACCGGCCGGGCCATCGTTTTGTACTACACTATGTAATCCGTTAACCCAAGTGAATGTCAACTAGACGTAATGCAACAAGTTTTTTCAATGTATCCTGTGTTTAAAGACGAAAGTAATTGAATGGATAAATACATACAGTGTCACCAGTATTGACGGTGACGTTTTGAGGACTAAAACTAAAACCACCTGGCCCTACTCCTACTTGGATCGCAACGTTGGCCGCGCGTATGCCGAAAACGAAACAGACGATAAGAAAAAAGACACTAGTTGCGCGAAACATGTTTTTGTACACTTATATTTTAATAACACAAATCCACTAATTCAATATAAGTAAAAGTCGAGATGGTTGGATTTTTGGGGGTATTATTTATAGTCGCGGGCAACGTATGAATTATATTAATATTGTGTGTTAGTATATACAGTACTTTTTTAGTCTAGATCAACCACGCGCACTGAACGCTCATTATTCACGAACTTGATTTGGAATGTTTATTTTACTCGCGAAAATGCCTCCACTATCAGATACGCCAACCCCGAGTCGTCTAAAACAGTAAAGGTGAGAAACCGGTTTAAACCGGATTTTTGGAATCTGTCACAAATACAAATTCTTTGTGTAGCGATACTACAATTATTCTTTGGAATATCTATTTCTATTTCATTTCGTCACTATGAATCTTGGCGACGCAACCCATTTGTATAAGTCTGTCTCTACGAATACTAGCGAGAACATGTTTGCTAAAATTATCTTTCGTAGCAAGGCGCAACACAGAGGAGCTGGGTCTTGGCAACAAATTTTTTGCAGACATTCGTGACGTTTGTGCTTGGTGATTCGCTGCCGTTATCGTCGTTCAAAACAAATACTTTTTCTGACTCGCAACAATTGATCTCCTTTTGGATATGGATTTCCGAGTGTGGGAAATGGTTTGATATTATCGTGAATTTTTGTAAGAGATGACAAACTCTATTAATGTTAAAAAAAGTAACCATGCTTACCGGACGGCCCTTAATCCGATCTAAATCCTATTATAGTAAGCAATCCTGCATCTTGTGTCAACAGTTCCTATTCCAAGGGTAAAGAAGTAATTCTTGGAAAACTTCGAAACGACTCGATACTTGATGTTAATTTGAGTGTACCAATTTGACGAGTTACTTTTTTTTGTAAAGTATCCTTTCTTCGAATGCATTTTCTCGAAGTGACTTTTGTGTTAATATACAGTATAATAATGAATGAATGACCGTTTGCATCCAACTTGCGTTTAATGCAATAATATGGATACGATCGAAAGAACCCCTCTTCAAAAGCAGGGGAAATTTTAATTAATAACATAGCACCGGTGATTATCTTCGTTACACGTAATTTTGCATTCTTAAGGAATAAAACAAAAGTTAGAAACAACATTCCAGTCCTCATTGAATGTGTTGTGGCAATCGGAAAAGAAAAAGAATTTAAGAATGTTTGCAAACCTATGGAAAAACTTAATAAAGAATATCAAAATAAAATTATTTAAAAAGACTAAAGTAAACCAAACAAAAGACTCAATTACTCTATTTATGAAAAGTGTTTATGAAGTTAAAAGTATAAATTTAGAATCATTAATTGTCCGAAGCAGAGCGAAGGACATTCTATGTTTACGATCCTTGGTAAAAATATAGATTACGTGTGGATTCTGTCCGTCCGCATGTGTAACTCATTATTATTATTTTTTTAAATAACCAAGAGATGTACGCAATTTGATGGCGAATCTACAAAACAAAAGTAAACGAAAAGCATCTGAAGCTTTTGATTACTGTGTACGGAAGCTTTCTCTCATCTAAAAAATTTTAGAGAAAGGCGCAGCAGAACTTGAGAAATAAATCGAGAACATAAATAAATCTTCGAAGTTTCATGTAATCTACATTTGCATTGACACTACTAAACTTCACTGATGACAAAAATTTTAGCAATTCTTTAACATGTGTATATCAGAAATTTTATTTTATTTTTTCACCATATTAAATTAAATACATCAATCAATCTCTAAGCTTTTTATATATTAAAAATAAATAATTAAAAAAGCTAATCACGTTACTTTCTCGCGATTAAAACCTATGAC